GAGTGGCCCGTGGGCGGGCAGGGGCAGAATCAGCGGTACCACTTTGCAAACACCGCGTTTACGCTTGTGGCGAAGGTGACCATCCACGCTGAGCCAGGGGAAGACAGCAGCCCCGCTCCTTTGCTGGGCGCGAAGTTGGATGACGGGGACAACACTGTGCTCCTGGGTCTGTCGTGCACGAAGGAGAAGAAGTGGGAAGTGATATTCAACAACAATCCCCTGGGGCTGTCGAAGGATGAAGAGTGGGAGGAGGAGAAAACGTACCGCGTGGCACTGGGGATGGATGCCGGTGAGGGGTTGGTTGCGTACGTCGGTGGCTCGCGTGTGTACGACAGCGAAGATGATGCGGAAAACAGCGTTTCTAAACAGTTGCAGGAGCTGTTGAAGTCGCGCAGCATCTCGCACTTCTACTTCGGCGGGGGCGGTGCGGGCGGCGTTGAGGTGACGGTGGCCGACGTCCTGCTGTACAGCCGCACGCTGAGTGAGGCTGCGCTCGCGGCACTGACGGCGGACCCCGCCGCTGCCGCCGCCGCTGCCGCTGGGCCGGAGGAAGACGTGAAAGCGCCTGGCCCGGGAACTGCGCCGCAGGGCAGGGAGGTGGAGGTCGCTCCTGCGCCACCCGCCGGGGACTCCCACCTCGGCCCCCCAAAGGAACACCACCAACAGGAAGGAGAAGTACAGGAGGAAGGGGAGGCGAAAGAAGAAGCCGAGGAAGAAGAAGCGGCTTCTCAGTTGTCGCAGGAGGCGGGCAAAGAGGCAGGCGACGCGTCAACACCTTCTAACAACACGCGCAACTCCGACGCAGAGGAAGCAGCGGTGGTGGAGGAAGAAGAGGCGGAGGATGAAAAAGAAAATGGGGGGAAGGGGGATGAGGAAGCGACAGAAGTCAGTGGCGGTGCATTGGCGCCCCCACCGTTGACAGCACCGGATGCGGCCAGTGTTCCTCGCACAGGCGCAGCTGAGCAGGCCGTCGGTGCGGAAACTTCTGAGCGGCAACGGGGGACCTCGACCCCCGCAGACGGTGCGGGCACGGCGGACCCGGTGGGTGACGCGCCTCCGCGGAGTGGACCCATGGATGACGGCCAGGCGCTGCAGACCCCTCCGTCGCACGCGCCAGAGGCCGTTGGCGGCGTGCCGTCTGCTTCCGCCGCGCCCACCGGCGAGACGCCAAACGGTGCCGCCAAGGAAAATGGCGCAGGCCCCCAAACTGCGGCGGGCGCGGACGGCGGCCACGAGGCACCCAGCAACGCCGCCACGGCACCCACGGCTCAGGCGCCTGGGCGGCCAGTCACCCCGCCAGCACGCGACGCTGCACCGCACTTAAGCAACAACTCAGCCGCCTTCAGGAACACCACAGGGCTGTTCCAGCTGAGCACAGAGAGCGACGGCACTCTGCGTGGGTGTGTGTCTTGGCCAACGCTGCTGACTCTTCTGGCGCTTTGTGGCGTCGCGGCAGGCTTCTGAGCGAAGGAGTGTGGAATTGTGATTCCGCATGGGGAGAGGTGTGCGCTGCGACCCATGCGGGTCTCTTCATTTAAGTGTGCTTTTTTCTTTCTTTCTTTTTTTCGTCCCTGTGGGTCAATCCTTCTCTCCCTCCTGTGCTCTGAGGGATGTTTTCTCTTCTTTTCACTTCGCCACCCCATGCACGTTCTCATGGGCGGCGCACCCTTTTTTCCCCCTCCTGTTTGCTGCCACCACACGCACACACACACACACACACTCGGTGCCGGCCGTATTGCTGTGAGCCGCACGGAGTGCCGAAGTGAGGCACAAGGCCGCGGCCACCGTGAGGTGCAACCTTGATGTGTGCGTGTGCTACCGGGGCAGTTGTTTCGTTTTTTTATTCGTGCAGGTAGTAAACTATACACACACACTCCCTCACGGTCCTCTTGTGCTGCTGGACACGTGAAGTAAAACAACCTGCGGAACTAACTTATTTTTCTTTAATTTTACGAGGGGCGTTGGGGGTTTCCGCTTCTTTTCTTTTTGTTTTAATATTTTTAGTTGGGGCAACTCACTGCGGCTCACGCTGAGTTTGTGCGCCGTGTCCGCCGCTGTTGTCGCTGCGTGTCTCCGCGTCTTGTTTTCCCACTGCCGCCGCTGGCTGTGCCGCCGACACGCCCCCGTTTCCTCCTCCTCCTCCTTCCCGCTAGAGGCAACTTTAGTTTGCGGCGGCGGCGGCACTTTTTTTGTTGTCCGCTGCGGCAGAGCAGCGGCAGGCTGTGCGGCGGGCTTTGGACGCGCCCCGTCCCTCTCGCCGCGGCTGCGCTGTGCGGCCGGCTTCTCCTCTGCGTGTCTTTTCCCTCGCAGGACGGGGGC